AAGGCTTTAAAATAAATTTGACCCAAGCAATGAGCTAGTGAAAGAATATCCCATATGCCACTACATGTGACAGGAACAGCATGATTAGTGTCATAGGGACTATTCAACAAGGAGTCCACAGAGATGGTCCTTGAAGGAAATGTCTAGACAAGGAGAACAGTTATCATTCAGCAGCGGAGGGGAGGGGGGGAAGGGAGTGGGCCAGGCCAAGATGCTGCCACAAATCTGCCTTAGGACGGTTTGTTCTTGTAATTTTTCTTGGATTCTTCCTTGACACAAAGACTGTTGTTAAAAACCACCTGGGTGTTTGTTTAAGGAGCCAAATAAATAATTAAGGCTTACTGTTCAAGCTCTGTGTGCTCAGACACAGGATTTATAAAAGCTGTTTACAAAAGCTGTTGGTGTTTCTTTACTTTGATGCAATGAAAAGGGCTGTGAGGGCCCCAGGCTAAGCCTGAGCTGCTGGGGGTGTGCAAGTGGGGGTGTTTTGCTCAGAGGAGAAGTCAGAAGGTACTGCCAAACCTACAATACAAGGTGGCCGCCCATTTCCACAGAAACTGGGGATGATGGGATGCAGGCCCTTGAGATGACTATGGAAATTTCGGCCCAGAAGAGCGTTTCCCAGTGGCCCTGATTTTATTGCCAATATGCAGAAGGAAAACCCCTTTTGAGGGATGAGTTTTACCTCTGCTGCATCCCTTCTAAAATGCTCATCCCCTTGAAATTTCTGCTGTGGTATTCTTGTTCAAACAACTTATTATGGCTGGCTGGTAACTGAGGTGACTGTCATTTGCATAAACCTTAATTATCAATGTGTAACTCCACAGTGGCTGTGGGGAGAGGAGAACAAAGGACCAAAATGACAAGGAAATTCTCCTGGCTAGTGTGAGAGTGCCTGAGCAAGCCCGTAGTCAAGGGCAGGCTGAATCTGGCTAACTCCCAGGAGAAAGGAGCGTGACACAGTTTTGTCATTAATCTTCACACCCAAACTTTAATTAAGACACCTGCACTGAAATTAATAGGCACAAAACCTGATTTACATAGGAAAGGAGATTAAAAGATAAAGGCGGTTTCCACTCCTATTGTTTGCAGTTCAGTGCTGTTCGTGGCTCACTGAGAAAGGCGCGCTCTGAGTCCCCAAGATGGTGAGGAGCACGGAGGGATGGCAGGCTCCATGGCACAGCCATTAAGGTACCAAAATAAAAAGTATGTATTTGCAAAGGGAAGTTTTTGGACTTTTAATTCAGATTTTTAGGATTAGAGCTCCGCCCCCATGCAGCAGCTTCAGCAGTTGCAGAGAGTCCTCATAGACCAGGCAGGTTGTCCTCTCTGTGCTGGATTTTGAGGATGTTGTTCACTGCCTTTGGAAGGAGTCCCTGGGGAACCTGACATGGCCCCCAGGACTTCAGCTGGGCTGTGGTCCCGGTGCTGAGCCTGTTTAGCAGCAGTGCCCTGAGTGTGGAGCAAGCCTCAGGGTCCCCATCAAGCCAGGGAGCCAGCTTCAGGCAAGCACGGAGGTGTGGGAGTGCCAAGGGGGTGCACCACACCCAAACAACTGGGAGCTGCAAAAACCCGCTTGAGGACCCCAGATCTGAGGGCAGGAAGGAGGACTTGGTCCAAAATCCCATCGGCTGAACTGCCAATGCTGGGCCGAGCCTAGATTTGCTCCAGGCAGAGGGGAACGTGGGTGTTGCTGAAGATTTGCCTGTGCTGAAGACATTCTCTGGGGAGGGCAGAGTTTAACCCTGGGGACAAGATGACAAGGAGGCTGGGGAAGGAGGACGGGGTCCTCCAGCCTCTGCAAAAGGCTGGGCAGAAGCTGGAGCTGAGGGACAGATGGCAGAGAAGAGGGAGCAACGCAAGGAGAAAGTGAGGTGTCCTTGGCTGCCTCACAGGCATCGCTCAAGCAGAGGAAGCAGCGAACAAAAAAGCTGCAGCTGCGCCGGGCAGGAATGCACCCTGCTCGCCAGACAGCAGGCTGTGCCCAGCCCTGCACACGTGGCCCCCAGCCCTGTTCAGCCCCCAGCCCGCTGCAGCAGCTCCACTGCTCAGTCCTGGGTACTGGGAAGCAAAACTTGGCCACCCCACAGAGCGTGATGGCAGGTTCATGCTTCTCTTGAAAACCCAGCCAGGCAAGTGCCTTCCCTCCTGTCTCAGCCAGCTCCCATGTACTAAAGCAGTAGTTTCTGCCCCTTCTCATGGGACCAAGGGATTCCCCCTGCCTGCTTAGGGTGGCTCCCACCAGCATGACTGCATCCCCTGGGGGCCATGGGGGCTGCATCCACTGCCCAGGCTGGGGGAAACCACCATTTCCCCTTTGCACCCCAGCAAGGCACCTCAATGCTCCCGTTCTCCAGGAAAACTTCAGGCCATCCCGGCCAGCCATTGCACAGCTGCATCACGGGTCTGAAAAAGCTTTTTCCAGTGACTCATTCTCTGCTTTTCATTTCCTTTTTTTTTTTTTTCATTTTAAAGGCACAACCTCAGCCTTGCACGCAGCAGAATCCAAGTGCCGCTCTTTGCCCCACCCAAGAACAACTTCCTCCCTCCTCCCAAAAGCCAAAAGCGGAGGGCACGTTTCAAACTAAATAAGGAAGCCTTAACAAACTCTTAAGGCTGTTTTCACCAGAGTTCATTTCACCCATCAGGCCGGCCTCAGCTGCATCCACCCTTCTGCACAGCCCCGTGCGCTGCTGGGAACCCACCACAGCCAGAGCCCGAGCAAAAACCACGTGAGGGGCTGAGAAGGCTCCAGAACTGGTTTCAACAACCTTTCAAGTAAGTGACTTAATTTTTTCTCGTTTTCATATGTTTTGGGGAAAGACTTTAACAGAGGCTGCTAAAAAATTATCTGCTGCAAACAACTTTTCCCCTCCCCTCCTACCCAACCCTCTTCCCAGACCATAACTACCAAGCAGAGGCAGGGTAACCCCCCCACCCCACCCCAAACGACATACTTTCCTTTGCCAGCTCCTCTGATTTTTGCCTTGCTGTTTGCCAGCCTCTGTCAGGAAGGTCACAGGTCTGTGTTTTTCAGGGTTGTTTGCGGGTAACTGATAACAGGGGCTTGAACTACAACAAGTTTGTGGGTTTAGCATCTGGCTGCAAACGTGATGTTCCGCCAAGTGCGGCAGCTGGAGATGGAGGCCTGGCTCCCCACCAAGTGGTGGCAGTTTTCAGCTTGTCTGTCTCCTTTGCAGATGGAGTTTTGTAAATGGAAAACTGGGAAGCTGCAGGAAGACATTAAGGGCTGTTTGCAGTTGAACTCAGTGTGATTTTAAAGGATTTGCCACGAGTTAGACAAAACAGAGGCCAAATTTCTGCCCCCGTTCCCCTCCGCTGCCCCATGGCAGAAGGGGGTAAACCAGGATTTGTCAGGGCAGCAGATGAACTGTGGCACAGTGATGTAAAGCACAGTGTATGAGAAAGCCTTGTACAAGAGATCATGTCTCTTCTGCACAGATATCCCTGAAGTCTTGTCCCTGCAGTTGGGGCTGGCCCAGGGAAGCCTTGCTCCGTGCGTACCAACTGGGAGATGCTAGCACTGGGACAGATTTCAGGGCAGCCTTGCTGTGGGTCAGGCTCCCTGGGAGCCTCGGATGTGTGCTAGTGCTACCAGCACTGCAATCTGCCAGAGACGGTTAGTGGGGTGCCCGGGTCCTTCCTGTCTCCAGTGAACCCTGGTGACAGCAGTTCCCCTAAGGCCAGCAGGTTTCATCATGTGGGTGAGGGTTCCCAGAGCTAGCAAGGTGCTTGAGGCTTCCTGAGATGAAACCCTGTGGGGATAGGGTGCAGACAGAAAGTCAACTAAGAACTTAATTAAATCTATCTTGCAAGTGGGCTGGAGGGATGGACATCGCTGCAGAGAGCATGGATACATTCCCCAATTATTTCCTTATGCTTCAAAAAAATCAGGGCACATACCCTTGGTCCTGAGTGCCTGCAGCCCAGTCAGTGGGGTATAACCAGTGTTGTGCTGGGGGAAGCTACAAAGGCAAAGGGCAGTGAAGCGCATCTGCCACTGAGGTGCTCAACTCAGGAGCTCAATTTAAGGGCAGCAGTTTTGACTCTGAGCTGGGACTGCAGGCCAGGACAAGGGAGTACGATTATGTCAGCCAGCTGTGGGAGAGGGGAAGATCATCCTGCCACACCTAATCCTAGCAAGAACTCCTACGTAATTGCTGTCTCAGCTCTATCGGCATTTGGTGTTTGTGTCCCGGGTCATCAAGATAAGCTCTTTTCCCAGGAAAGCTTGCAGCAACAGCCCCTAAGCATCCCCTCACCCTCTCAGTGGAGGCTGCTCCTGCCTGGGCCTCCCATACCACACCTCTCTGCACCCAAACCTGCTGGGCTGTCTCATAGCACCCCTTGCTGCCTCCCTCATATACCTTTGCCTATTAATTAAGTCATCAGGTCTAAAGAGGGAGGCAAAAGCCACACATGGCACCTTCAAGGCAGTGCGGCACCAGCACTCACGTGCCGCGTGCATCTGGGCTAGTGTGAGTCAGTGGCAGGGCTGGGGACACATCCTAGTGCCAGCGCTCTGGACCAGTTTTCCCAGTAACATGGTGTCCTCCTTCATTGTAGGTTCGGGAGATCATCAAGAGTCTGGCAGCGACGCTGACAATAATTGCCTCTGCGGGAGGTGACTAAAACCAAAGAGATGGAAAGACGACGACCATGCAAATGACAGGGACAGAAACAGATGTCCCACCTGTAACCTTTGCTGTAGCAATGCTTTTGGAGAGCTTAGTGGGAAACTAAAGTGTCAGAAGTTTCATATATTGCTTAGGCTGAATCCCTTTTCAGCCCCTTTTGAAGTATCTCTGGTATCAGCAATCAACTTCAGAGGCTGGGACACCAGGTAGGGGGAGGGGACATCAGTGAGGGTGTCTTGCTCCTGGAACACCGCCTTGCACGTCAACTGGCACAAGGCCTTTCTACCTCTCATTGGAGTGTTCCTCGGTGCTGGGAGGTGAGCCAGCACAGCCCCCCACAGCAGCACACACCTCCTCTCACCCCCGGGACGAGATGGCCGCCCTCATCGCTGAGAACTTCCGCTTCCTCTCCTTGTTCTTCAAGAGCAAAGACGTGATGATCTTCAATGGTTTGGTGGCCCTGGGCACAGTGGGGAGCGAGGAGCTCTTCTCAGTCGTTGCCTTCCACTGCCCCTGTTCCCCTGCCCGCAACTACATCTATGGGCTGGCTGCCATTGGTGTCCCAGCCCTGGCCCTCTTCCTCATTGGCGTCATCTGGAACAACCACACCTGGAACCTGGTGGCTGAGTGCCACAAGCGTGGTGTCAAGAACTTCTCTGCCGCTGCCACCTTCCTCCTCTTTGGCTCCATCATGGGCCGGGCAGCTGTGGCACCCGTCACCTGGTCGGTCATTTCACTGCTGAGAGGGGAAGCTTACATCTGTGCCCTCAGTGAGTTTGTCAAGCCATCCTCCCTGGACAAGTTTCCACCTGAGTACGGGGCTGAGGTGCTGGCCAGGTTCCCCTGCAGAGATGTACCGGCAAACCTCACCAAGTTCAGGGATGAGGTGACACGGAGGCTGAGATACGAGTCCCAGGTAGGCACGCCAGGGGAAAAGCCACATGGAGTGGGTAAGACCACCTTGCCATGTCCTAACGCAGCCTCTCTCTTCTCTCTCAGCTCTTTGGCTGGCTGCTCATTGGCATCGTTGCAGTCCTGGTTTTCCTCACCAAGTGCCTGAAGCACTGCTGCTCGCCACTGAGCTACCGGCAGGAGGCTTACTGGGCCCAGTACCGCTCCAATGAGGACAAGCTCTTCCGACGTACAGCTGAGGTCCACTCCAGGATCCTGGCAGCCAAGAATGTGAAGCACTTCTTTGGCTTCGTGGCACTGGACAAGGAGGAAAAGGAGCTGGTACAGGAGTTCCCGGTGGAGGGCGTCCAGCCAAGCCCCCAGTGGAATGCCATCACAGGCGTCTACATCTACCGGGAGAACAAGGGCTTCCCCCTCTACAGCCGGCTCCACAAATGGGCCAAAGGAGTGGAAGGGAATGGGCCAACGCCAGAAGGCCATGAACTGCTCTTTTTGGCTTCCTAAGACAGATGGGTGCTGGTAGCGGTTCCCCAGACTGCCTGGCAGGCCTTCCATACCATTGCACAGGGAGGGATTCACTGGGAACATTCCTCCCGGCAGGATTACTTCTCTCAGAAGGCAAACAGGGACCAACAGCCTCAAGGTAGAAAGCAACACACTGAACTGGGGAACCCCTCCCTCAGAGAACAGTCTCACTGCTGCTCCCAGAGACACGGGTGAGCAAAGAGAAGGTGCAGCCCCTAGCTCCAGGCTGCCAGTGCATCCCATCTGATGTTGCAGCAGAAGCCTTCAGGAGTGAGAGATGGGCACAACATTTCTCACTGTGACTCCTCCAGTCCCACTTGTCTCCCCCGTGGCAGAGTTAGCCCCAGCCATCCCGCACATCTACTTGTTTTATTGACATTGGTATCTTCTTACCGCAGTTGTGCAATGCCTGTTACACAGGCAGGCCCAGAGCAGTTTACAGACTTTACAGTACAGGGAAAAGAGGGAAACAGTAAATTCCTGTGGAAAGGGGGATGCAATATCACCTCAGAAGGAACAGATCAGTAATAGAGCCACACACCAAATAACTGAAAGACTAAGGCAGGAGGAATCACCAATATTCCTGGTATTCAGAAAAGCACTCTGTAATTATTAAGTTGAAATTTGGGTAGGACACCAACCTCCCTTTGTTCTTATTGAAGTGCCTAACAATTGCTAATGAGCCCAAATGGTCATCCCCATTTTATAAACCTGGGGGAGGCCATCAGCAGAATAGTTTTTGGGCAAGGTGGTGAGGTGGAGGCTGAGAGGAATCACTACAGTGAGCCACACCACTGTCTGCAGCTCACTGAATTTCTCATCCAACCATCGGATAAGTTGTCTTTTTTCGGGTTGCAAGTTGCAGGATGACCTCAACCAGAATTAGTTTTACATATATGTATATATAAACATATATATAGTGTATATACTACCTAACTGTAGTTAGTTAGTTGCATTAATGGAGCATCTTTCTTGGAGGGGAAGGGCGATGAGAAAGCTGCCAGCTAAAAAAGCACATTGCATACACCCATCTGCTGCACTGGGACTGCAGCCCTGGAACAACGAGGGAAAGAACAGGATGGGGAAGCAGCCCTCTCCCTACCCTTCTACCACTGAATTTTCTAAAACTCCTTCCACTGCCTTAAATGGTCCCTGTGAACAGAAGATCTCTTTTATGGACTTGGCCATACTCTGAGAAAGCAAAACCAGAAGGGTGTAAAATTACTGCCCTCACTATGACAGTGTGACTACGGCTTCAAGGCTGCTCTTCTGGCATTGCACAGTCCCTCTTCTCCCAAGGGTCAGCCCTCTGTACACAACACTGTTTCAAGAACTGGCAGGACAGTGAAATTTGTTTTTCCTAGTTGTACTGTTTCATTTTAGGTACGACTTCCTTTTACACTGTACCATCTACCAAAAAGCCTTAAGTTGTTAAAAAAACTGCTCAAACCCAGAGAACTCAGAGGAGCTTAGATACAAGAAGATTTGAAATAAATTATTAAATGAGTTATTTTTCATTGCCTTCTGAGTTGGTTTTTTTCCAGGGTGGCACAAAAGGCATAATTTAACATTCTCTTTGAACTGAAGAACTGGGAACTTATTTTTTCTTTCTATTAAACATTCAGATCCTCTCCTATCCAGATCATCCTAGAGTGTTTTCAAGTATTACCACATATTACAAGTTAGTAACAGCTTTTTAGTTATTCTTGCAGTGAGTAGCACAAATCTTGTACATCAGGATACACAATTGCAGCAAAGGAGAGAAAATTATTTAGAAACTTTTTTACAAGTATGGTGCCTTGCAAGAAACAGCTGGAGGGTATTCCCTGACATAAAGAGGCTGGAACAACCACTTAATGGGTGAGGCATGGCAGGATCCCTGTTCAGCTTCTCTACAGATTTGCTTTGCATTTGTGGGAAGGCTTGGCTCCCAGCCTCATCATCAACTAATCTGCAGAAATGATCAGATGGGAGTTAAATGAAATTGCATTAACTTGAGATGAAAGAGAATTCATTTGCATTTCTTCTCACTGGCCCTCGAGTGCGAACATGCAGACATGCACACCACCCCCACACAGCCAGCAGACACAAGGTAACTTGCTGGAACAAAGCAGTGTTCTTCTTACTTCCTTTATTTCCCTTGCTTTTCTCCTTGATAGTCCTAGTTGTTCCTTTGAACCACCTCCACTCTGGTTCCTTCTCTTTCCCTTTCCTCCTTTGAAGGAGCAAGACACGTAATGCTTGAGAATTGATTTTTATCCTAGGAATAAACCATTAGCACAAACCATCTTTTGCTCCGTTTACCTCCCTTCTCTTCTGCATTAAATCCAGGCACTTTCCTTGTGCTGAGATGGGCTAGAGGCTTGTCCACCTTGTCCGTTTTCCCTCCCTCTTGTTGGAGAGGCATGTTTGAGTGGAGAGCCGACAGTGAGGAAGCAAGCCACTACACTCAGAAATAATTGTTTGCAATTGTGGAGATTTGTTTTTTCTCTCCTTTGCCACCCTAAGCATGGCCCCCACTGAGGCAACCTTGGGCTTCTGCCCCTCATGGCCCCTCATCAGCACCCTCATGAATATCCCTGCTGTTCATGTCACTCATCTTCCCCCAGTGACAATGCTGAGGTGAGGAACATTAACCCACATGACTTTACACACTGGAACAAGCAGCCAGGCTAGGATTCTCACTGAAAAGCCAAGAGGGAGATTAAGCCACCTGTCTTCCTGGTGTGCCAGATCACACAGGCTGTAAGCTCACACCCTCTGCTTTTCCTCCAAAGACTGACAACTCATTGCAGAGCAGCCCAAAGGCTGCCAGGTAGAGCACACTTCCCAGCAGCAAGATGGGCTCAAACCAGGCTCCTCCAGTACAGAGAATTACATACAGGTCTTTCCCTGCCCACTGTAGAGACTATAATAGCTCCAGTAATGAAGAAGAAACAATACCTCAAAGGGATCTTGGTTTCTATTGCAACGCTTATTTATGTGTTCTATTATGCAACTAATTAAACCAAAAGAAACACCCACCATCATTGAAGTTGTGTTCTTTAAAAAAAAGCAGCAGCTGCTACTGGATGTTGCAGTCAGCTTCCTCCACTACAAGAGCATTAAGCAAAATACGAATATAGTACCCTGCACTCCCTAGGGGCAAGAAGTGAAATTACTTGTTTCTGGATCCCAACGGATTTGGGAATGAAATAAATGCTGACTCATTCAGCCTTGCCAACACTGGGCATTCACAGAGGAAGAGCTGGGTCCTGCAGAGCTCTGGTTGTGAGTTCAAAGCACCTACAATGAGTAAGACTCCTCAAGTTTGGTATTTTAAAGCTGGGAACCCACTCACTAGTGTCTATGCTGGGTAATCACACCTGTTTGCATACTCTGCTTCTCCCCTTGCCTTGAGCTTTTCCTCTGTAAAACGTGGATGATCACATCCACATCTTAGTGGAGAGTAACAAGAAGAGAATCATAAGGATATGGACCATAAGGCACTGACATCAGTGACAGAGCCTATGCAAGTAAGCAAGACACCTGGCTTTTTCCAAGCAGAAGGTTAGATTAGGATGACTTTTTTTCGGCACAAAACCCCCGCTTTTTTCTTTGACTTCAGTGATTTCTTTTAAGAGACAATGACTACTGAAAATCACAATTTTTTCTGTCATCAATCCCTGGCAGCTTGTTACAACAGATGGTTGCTCAGAGAGGTTGTGAAGTCTCCATTCTTGGGGAAATCAAAACCAAACAGGATGTGAACCTGAGCAACCTAGCCTAGCTGACCCCTGCTTTGAGGAAGAGTTTGAACCAGATATCTCCAGAAATCCCTTCAAACTTCAACTACGCCACAATCTTGTGCTGCTCTGACAATTCCTAGGAGCACAAAGGCACCTGAGATAGATCTTTGGAAGTGTTAATTCATCCAAAAGGCAAGAATCTTCTCTGCTATCTTGACAGTGAGAGAAATCAATTTATAAGACATTGTTGTACTTAAAATCAGTGCACCATAACTGCACTATCTCCCCCAGAAAGTAGAACAGGTATGGCTGATATGTCTTTTGAATATAAACCAGTCTGTATTTAAAAATGTGTCATCAACAGAGTAGGATTATTTGTAACATCTGGACAAAGCTGCAAACCTTTACCAAATCATTTCATTTCATTGTTTGTTCTTTCCAGGCTGGTTTGGTCATAGACCAACACTCTCCAGAAATTCACTGTCCATGGACAGTCACAGCAGAATTCCACACGGCATGGAGAATCAAGTCTCTCTGCTTTTACTTGCACCATATTTAGGTGTCAGTAAGGGAACTCTTGGTCTCCACATACTCAAGTGCTGCTCTTTTAACAGCCAGGACACTTTCTGCTGTACCAAATTTCTTTTCATAATCCAGGTAGCGTTTGAAGAAGAATTTCATCTTCTTTGGTGCCAAGCTCAGGTGTATGACTCTCTCAAAGATGTCCCTGCAAGAAACCAAAGTGATTCAGATCACTGTGTCAGTGGCAGCACTCAATACAAGCCCTGTACCCTGTCTTAACAACAAGTTAGGGGAAATACACAATCTGCTGTGAAGTGCTTGTGCTTGAAGAAAGAGATTCCTGACAATTGGCCAAAATCTCTAAGTAGAAGCTTTCTATTTGCTTTCAGAACTCTAAGGTTGCTGGTCAACTTAAGCAAAGATCTGTTCACTGTATTGGACCCTGCATTCATTACGTAGATGTGGAAAATTACTTCCTTTCATCAACTCTCAGAAAACAGAAAAAAAAAGCTACAAGATATAAAAGGGCTTGATCTCACCCTTCAGATATAAGGCAATCCCTCCAGAGGGACTGATCGACCTCAGTGCAAGGCCTCTAGTTTCTGTCATGCAGGCCAATCAGACTCCCTCTGTCTTATGGAACTCTTTGGAGTCTCCTTAGTCCCAGCAAAGACTTTGTCTAGGTGATAAAAATTCTTTTTTGCTCTGCTCTGGGAAGCCCTGTACAACCTCACACTGCAGGGCACCTCTGTTCTTTTTGAGTGCCCCTCCAGACACTGTGTTCTGCCCCTTCCCAGCCTGGTGCACCACAACTCACCGTACTTCCTTCTGGCTGCCATGTTTGATCATGATGTCCATGTAGATGGACCAAATGTCTGTCCGCTTGGGATAGTTACTGAGGGTGCTCTCAAAGAGGGCCTTGGCATGCTCTGTGTCCTCAAAACGGAACTCCAGCTGTGCAAACCTTGAAATGACATCCACATCTGGAACAAGTAATGATATCTTAGGGTATCACAGCAGCTCTCTCCATATGAACAAACACAAGTGATAATGACGCAAACAGAGGCAAGCATAGAGACAGAACCACCTCCACCCAGAGACAAAAGGCTCTGTTGTAAAGTGGTCTTGGACTAAGGTGGGATCAAAATGGGAGAGAGAAGGGTCACAGTTCACTTCCCATTTCAGCTCTCTGCAGGAGAGGTTTGTTCTTACATTCAAAATGTATCATGCAGCATCTACGGGCAGCCCCACAAACCTAGGACTAGACCAAGTGAATGGCCATAAAGCTCAAAGATGCCCTTGCTCTGAGTGCTTTGCTTTTGTGTATCACAGCAAATTCTATTACAGGTGGATTTAGCATTGACATCCAGCTTGATATTTCCCCTCCTGAGAGACAAGGGCAGCATGTTCAGCATCAACTGGTTGCACTTTTCACTT